ATTTACCAAGCTCTTCCTTAAGTTTCAGTCATTCAATCAAAATGCACTTAATAAATACTAAGTCTTAGACACTGCAACTGGGAGGTAGACAAAAAAGGACAGCTGAGATTTTTAAAAATAAAGTTTCTGTACTAATTTTACTATTTTGAAAACACAATGTGTTTCTTACAGAAAAATCAGAAAATACTGATACAAACATTAAATAAAAAACATAGAAAACACAAATAAATTGTGCTAATTCAGGAACAATCACTATTGGCCTTGGCAAAAATCTCTCCAGATCACTTACTCTACATGAACATGCTTTTTTTTCTTCAACAAAAACAGGATGATACTACACGAAATGTTTTATTATCCACTCCTTTTCGTCCTACTTATTAATGCATCAAGTACAACCATTAGAATATGACAGGCAAAGATGGAGATGAGACTATTAAGGCAGAAAGAACATGAGAGGTCTAGAGATGAGAGTTGGTTGGTTTGCTTTATTTTTTTTCTTAATTACCCCACGTATAAGTGTAAACACAATGTTGAAAGCTTCAAGTCATTTTGATCTCCACTCCCCCCACCCCCTGCCAAAAAAGGGCAAAGTAAAATACTAGCGTTCACAGGAAAGTGGTATCTTTGGTACTGGTATGAGGATTACCATTACCATCGCCAAAAAGCCCATCACTATTTATCAATTACAACTCCAAGAGATTAAGTGCTTAGGTACAGCACTACAACCACAACCATGACTACCACCACCTCTTACGGAAGACACAGGGTTTTTTTTTTGTTTTTTCTTTTTTGCAGTACGCTGGCCTCTCACTGTTGTGGCCTCTTCTGTTGCGGAGCACAGGCTCCAGACACGCAGGCCCAGCGGCCATGGCTCACGGGCCCAGCCGCTCCGCGGCATGTGGGATCTTCCTGGACCAAGGCATGTGTCCCCTGCATCGGCAGGCAGACTCTCAACCACTGAGCCACCAGAGAAGCCCGGAAGACACAGTTTATAAAGTTCATTAACTCACTCAAACATTTCTTTAGCAATTATTATGTGTTAGGCACTATGTTAGCTGCTGGCCCTACAAAGATGAATAAGGACATCAACAGCAAGCTTTGCTTGCAAAAGCAAATGTCCTTCACTAAGAACTGAATTTAAAAAATGCGGACAGGGGCTTCCCTGGTGGTGCAGTGGTTAAGAATCCACCTGCCAATGCAGGGGACACGAGTTCGATTCCTGGTCCAGGAAGACCCCACATGGCGCGAAGTAACTAAGCCCATGCACCACACTAACTGAGCCTATGTTATAGAGCCCGCGAGCCACAACTACTGAGCCCACGCACCTAGAGCCCGTGCTCTGCAACGAGAAGCCACTGCAACGAGAAGCCTGCACACCACAATGAAGAGTAGCCCCGCTTGCCACAGCTAAAGAAGACCGTGTGCAGCAACAAAGACCCAATGCAGCCAAAAATAAAATAAATAAATAAAATAAATTTATTTTTTAAAAAAAGAGGACAATCTTGTACCCATTAGAATGGCTATTATTCCAAAACAAAACAAACAAAAAACCCAGAAAATAACTAGCACTGGTAAGGATATAGAGATATTGGAACCCTCGTGCACTGTTGGTAGAAATGTAAAATGGAGCAGCTGCTATGCAAAACTGTGGTGGTTCCTCAAAAAAATTAAACATAGAATTATCATATTATCCTGAAATTTCACTTCTGGGTGTATACCCAGAAAAAGTTTAAAGCAGAGAAACAGATATTTATACATCCATATTCATAGCAGCGATATTCACAACAGCCAAAAAAGTGGAAGCAACCCAACTGTCTGATGAATTAATGGTTAAACTAAATGTTTTGTATATACATACAATGAAATATTATTCAGCCTTAAAAAGGAAGGAAATTCTGACACATGCTACAACATGGATGAATCTTGAAGACATTATGCTACGTGAAATAAGCCAATCACAAAAGGACAAATATTGTATGATTCCACTTAAATGAGGTACTGGAGTAGTCAATTTCTTTTTGTTTTTGGCCAAGTGGCCCAGCTTGTGGGATCTTAGTTCTGCGACCAGGGACTGAACCTGGGCTCGCAGCAGTGAAAGCACGAAGTCCTAACCACTGGACCACTGGGGAGTTCCCTGGAGTAGTCAAATCCAGAGAGAAAGAAAAAAAGAAAGAAAGAATGGTGGTTGCCAGGGACTGGGGAATGGAAGAATGGGAAATTATTGTTTAATGGGTACAGAATTTTAGTTTTGGAAGCTGAAAAAGTGCTGGAGAAGGATAGTGTGATGACATACCAAGGCAACTGTATTTAATGCCACTGAACTGCACACTTAAAAATTGTTGGGATGGGGGAATTCCCTGGTGGTCCAGTGGTTAGGACTCTGTGCTTTCACTGCCAAGGGCAGGGGTTCAATCCCTGGTCAGGGAACTAAGATCCCGCAGGCCGCACGGTGCGGCCAAAAAAACCCAAAAAGATTGGAATGGTAAATTTTATGTTATGTATATTTTGCCATAATTAAAGAAATCTTTTTGAGGAATATCTATAAATGCTACTATGGAATATCCAGGATATACTGTTAAGTGAAAAAAGCAAGGGAGAGAAAACAAACAGTATGACACTATATCAAAGGAAAGTGAAAGAATATATAAATATAAACAGATACTGTATAAACATTTTATATAATTGTTATATTTATAATTTTTAATGGAAGGATAAACAAAAAAACTTTAAAAAAAGACTACCCCCTAAGGGAAGGAAAGAACAAGGTGGAGGGGAGAGGGCCAGAAACTAGACTTCTGATTGTACCTTGTCCTATATATAAAGTTCTGAAACATAATTATAAAACAAACTTAAGCCAAAAAAAAATGTTAAGTCATTCTTTAAAATCAAAATGAAACACAAACCTAAATTGTGTACTGAATTAAACCAAACAGAGAAGTACTTAAGTAACTTAAAACACAGTAATTTGACTGTACATCCTTGGTGAAATACATCCCTAAGGACTAAAAGAAGTAGAAAGAAATCTAAAACTGCTTTCAGTAATTACATTGTTAGTAATAATATTGCTATTATTCTGAAATTATATAATGTCTCTATATAATAAGGTTTCAGTATAAAAGAAAAAACAAAACTAAAATTTTAAACTGTTAAATAAAAACTCTGCAATATGATTTAATTGCAAGTATCAGTATAAACTCATGATGTACTTTCTTTTTTAAAAAAAGTACTTCCTAGCTCTGTCTATGAAAAGGCCTAAAAATGACTAACCTAGTATCAATAAGCGTAACACCCAGATAGCAGTCCATGAAAATCCTTTCCAACTAAAAGGAACCAGCGCTCCCTAAAAAAACTGATAATTCAAGGTCTAAGGCAGAATTTTATGAAATGAGGTTAGATCATACCAGAAAGCAAGGAAGCTATTAGAAACCACTAGGGTAGTGTCAAATACACTTAGGAGCTACCTTGAAGCGGCTCCCACTACCAAAGACAGAATAATTTGAGCCCTAATAAAATAATAACTGCAATGGACTGAAACACATCAAATATGGTAAAAATCCATGAGTTCATAATGATACTTAAAAAGAAAAAAAAGACCTCATTAGTCACTTTTGAAAGATTCTTGTGAATCAATTTATTATCCTAAAAACTAATAAACAAAGGAAAACAATCAAGTATTTATCCTGTCTTTTTTATAAAAACTGAACACAAGAGTAACTTAATAGTCCAATAGTCATAAAGAGGAAGTTTCTGTTTATAAAGTAGTCTGGCTGAGAAATGAAGAATGACAGAACTAGAATATCACCATTTTGCAAACCCCTAATAAAATTATTGACCTAAGAGATGATTGATGGCTGCTAAAATTACAAAGAGTAACAAGCAGACATTATGTGCCTACAAAGTTTTCTTTCAAAACAAAAACAGAGACAGAGGGACATGGTAAATAACATCACAGGGATGCAATCTGCAAAATAAAACTATGAGAAATAGGGCAAACATACTACAAGAAAAAAGGGGGAGGGGTAAGGGAAGGAGAAACTATAAACTGAGACATCAATTGAATGCATTGCATGAACTCTGATTTGAAAAGTCAACTATAAAATAAACTGTGAAATTCTAAGAGTAATTTAAACATTAATTGTATATTTGATGATACAGGTATGATGTTTACATATTTTGAAAGAGTCCTTACTTTATAGAGATATATACGGAAATATTTATGAATGAAATTATGGTGTTTGGGATTTGCTTTAAAGCAACCCAGGTGGGTGTGCAGTCATAAATGAAACAAGACTAGCTATGTGTTGATAATTTTTGAAGCTGGATGATGAGTATATGGTGTTCATTATATCACTCCATACATTTCTATCAATATATAACTGAAATTTTCCATAATAAAAAGTTACGGGGAGGGACTTCCCTGGTGGTCGGTCCAGTGGTTAAGAATCCGCCTTCCAATGCAGGGGACACAGGTTTGATCCCTGGTCAGGGAACTAAAATCCCACATGCAGAGGGGCATGGTAAGACAAGGAAATCATTTTAACTATTTAAGAAAATTCAGATACTGTAAACCACCAGCCTAAGGCTGAACAAAAGAACCCATTTTCAAAGTCATGTTACCTTCAATATTTAGTAACTGAATTATGAGTACTATTAGTATAGTCTGTTCTTTAAAGTTTTATTATCAAAAACAGAAAAGATGTAATCATATCGTAACTTGGACAATTTTAAACTTCTGAATGGCTATTATCTCCCAAGTTCCAGTGTTTCAAATTTCTTTATAAAAGAATACTGTCTGAAAACTAAGATGAGTAACATTCCCCAAACATGAAATCTTCAATCCATTAGAGTTTGAACCTAAATACATAACTTTTTAACGTACAAGGTGTAGTTAAAAACAACATTATTTTCCTGTTGTCTATCAGACACATTCATTAGCTTGGTTTAACAGGGCAATACAAGAATCATTTTCTACGACATTCAAATAATAGATCAAGTCTTACCTCCATTGCTAAAGCTGCTGTCTGTTGGTCATAATGATTCAGAAGATTAGGCATGAAGGTAGTATTATAAGGCAAATCTTGGCACATCCTCAAGGTAATAGGTTCACAAGAAAACAAACTGTGCCCACCTATACGCCCCACAAACAAAGTCAAGGGCCACAGAATGAAGACGATCCAACTCATAGCCATGCTTCCTCGACTGAATGAGAATCAGATGATCAGGCCTACTCAATATGTATTTTAGATCTCTATACACTTGCAGGTCTCAGCTTGAAAGTACTTCTTCTATCTTTCTGTTAAGTTCTTCAAACAGAAATACTCTTTGCACCGTCAGAGGTTTGTTAACTTGGTCTCACAAAAGGCATTTGGTTTTGGTTTCACAATATGGGAAAATGACATCATCTTGCCTCTTCTTTTCATTTTATTACATAGGGCACCACTTGGCCAACAGATAAAGTTGATCAACCACATTCCCAAACAACAGATTCCATCTTAGGAGAAGAGCTATTTCTTCCCTTGACTGAAATATCTGAAAAGAAATTTTTTAAAAATGGGAGAAATTAGTCATTTCCTCTCAAAATATTATGGACTTGATATTAAAATCTTTGATTAGCTCAGTAAAGTTTCAGGATACAAAATCAGTATACAAAAATCAGTTGCGTTTCTATACACTAACAATGAACTACCAGAAAGAGAAATTAAAAAAAAAAAAATCTTTGATGAGAGATATAATACTGACCTAATAGATAAAATACATGGGTATTTCATAGAGTATAGTTTTTCTACTTTATCATTTATAGTATAGATATACTAACATAATACATGAACAGCATTCAAAGGCAAATTTTCTTCCCTCAGTTGCCTATATAACATATCGTTTAATTTCCCATCTATGATGGCAATTTTTCATTTGTCACAAGACATAATTGAGCCATTTTGAAAAATCTGTATGCTGTTGTCCTAAACTTTATTTAAATATCTGCCACACTTATAACCTAAGTTATTTAATTTAAATTTTATTATATGTGTTTTAACCATTAATAGTGCAGTTTTTACATTAAATGATTTGGCAGATGGTATCTGTGAAAGATGTAAAATATAAATAAATAGAAAGATATGGATTCAAGCCTCTTTATAGCTCTTTGAGTCACTTAACTTCTCTGAACTCAGAACTTTCCTTCCTGAAAATAGTACCTCCCTAACAAAGACGATTTATGAGTTAATTATGAAGTAATGCATGTAAAAGTACTCTATAAAAGGTAAAGCAACATCAAACATTAGGTAGTTTTATTGTTGAATAACAGCTGATACAAAGACTACTATCAACCAGTACTGAACTGGCAAACAGAAGATTCTAAAAGTAGTATCAGGACATTTTCCCAATATTACTTCATCCTTTTAGACAGTACAAAAATTTAGTACCATAGATGTAGAAACATTTGACCAAGAAATGCTTCATTACACACAGCCAAGTTGCAAAGACTAGAAATCATCCCTAGAAAGTTATAGCAGGAATAGGAATGATTCCCAGTTATAGTTTCTTCCAAGTTGTAGAATCTTTGACTTGACAGTACTTTTCCAAGGGTAAAAATATGCATCTCATTTGGGGCTGGAAGGGTACAGGTGGAGTGGAAGGCAGGTCTGGCAGGAAAAAAGCATATACTAAGCTATCATACTTTCATTTGGTTTCATAATGATGTTAAATTTGCTTTTATTTCATTTTGTTTCATAGATATTAGATATTTCTGTTTGTGGTAGACAGCCTAGATTGGGAAAACATGAAAAAGACAGGTTCAGAAATTCTCAGAGACCCAGGTTAACAGACAACTTAAATATATACTAGGGCCCGTGACAGCTTAGACCTTGAGACCTGGAACTGGGTTGGCTTAAGCAGGGAAGGAAACTGTCCTCTGTCCACTGACTATCAATGACTGGGACCTCTGCATCCCAAGCTTTAATTACTAGGTAGAAAAAACTATTTGGAGAAAGTAAAGCAATGGCTGAATCTTCCCAATTTCTCCTCCTAGTATTTGGTCTTGAGTAGTGGAAGGGAAAAGGAAAGTCTGTGGCCTCCAGAATTAGGAACACTAAAGATACGAGCAAACTTGTCCCCAAACATCTAATCTCTCTAATACTGAAATCTCTAACCCAGAAATATTTGCAAAAGCTTCTGGGCCTGCCATATTCTTTCCTCCTTCAAGCTGGTCCCAAAAATGTGATGTCTGGCTAAAGAAAACTGATAATAAACACAGTCATTTATATTTAAGCTTAATTACCATGCAGCACAGTAACAATTATGCATATCATTAAATGTGTCAAATAACCACTGAAAGCTTTATTTGGTTACAGTATTAAAGCATCCATATAAGTTCCATCTTTGTAGTTTGCTGCTTATGTAGCATGTTCATCTGCTTGCAACTAAAAAAAGTTAAAGGGGGGCTTCCCTGGTGGCACAGTGGTTAAGAGTCCGCCTGCCGATGCAGGGGACACGGGTTCGTGCCCCGGTCCGGGAAGATCCCACATGCTGCGGAGTGGCTGGGCCCATGAGCCATGGCCGCTGAGCCTGCCCATCCGGAGCCTGTGCTCCGCAGCGGGAGAGGCCACAACAGTGAGAGGCCCGCGTACCGCAAAAAAAAAGAAAAAGAAAAAAGTTAAAGGGAACATTGCTCCCTACTGAATATGTATATAACAATAAGAATTTCAAAAATTTCATTTAGACTAATCTATTTTTCAAGCAGTATGGGTTTCAAATATATGGTTCAAAGAAGACTACCACATAAAACTTGAGGAAGAAACTAAGCAATAGCTCATTGGGTTTTTGAAACTAGATGAGAAACCCCCTTACACTTCTGCCTATTCTATTCACTTGTTTTTCTCTCAATTATTCCTTTTGCCTCATTTACAAGCAAGGCTCCCCACCACCTTACAAAAGTGCTTTCCTTTATGTACTACGATATTCAAATTTCCATGTATCAGGACTTCCCTGGTGGCACAGTGGTTAAGAATCCACCCGCCAATGCAGGGGACACCAGGTTTGATCCCTAGTCCGGGAAGATTCCACATGCCATGGAGCAACTAATCCCGTGTGCCACAACCACTGAGCCTGCACTCTAGGGCCTGCGTGTCCCAACTACTGAGCCACATGCTGCAACTACTGAAACCCATTCGCCTACAGCCCGTGCTCTGCAACAAGAGAAGCCACCACAATGAGAAGCCTGCGCACCGCAACAAAGAGTAGCCCCTACTCGCCACAACCAGAGAAAGCCTGCGCACAGCAACAAAGACCCAACGCAGCCAAAAAATTTAAAAAAAAAAATTCCACATATCAAAACATTTTTGTAAAATTATTATGTTAGGCTGGGGTATAATCTTAATACATCAAGAGTAGTTTATGATTATTAAAATAAATAAGAAAAAAAACAGTGGAATGCCGTGAGACAAAAAGAAAAATAGGAATAGTAAAAATCTTAAAGAATTTATATTTCCCCCAAATCAGAGGTGCCCTAATCTTAATGTGTAGCAGATTCATAGATTCCCCCATAAGTCTAAGAAATCTGAACCTCTGGAAAATGATATGCATTCTAATGATTATCTCAGGTTCTATTACAGGTGATCTATAAGTCCTATTTTGAGAAATGCTATCCTAAAATAGAGTAATTTAAGAGTATAGGGTATTTGTACATAATTGTGTGCTTAGCAAAAGTAATACATAAAATGAATTTTTTAAAAAGCAGGTAAAGAATACTTTAATAGAAAAATGGGAAAAAGACATAAATTTACAAAAGAAATACAAATAGCCAACAAACACATGAAAAGATATTCAACTTTACTACTAAAAACATTTGAACATGATATATAACATTTTTGCCAATCAGATAAGCAAAATAAGAATAAGAGAACACAGTATAGGAGAGGGTGCAGGGAAAAGAACATTTTCAACATTCCAACACTTTCAAATACCATGGGGTTTTTTTGGCCGTGTGACTTGCAGGATCTTAGTTGCCCCACCAGGGATTGAGTCCAGGCCATGGTAGTTGAAAGTGCCTAACCTCTGGACTGCCAGGGAATTCCCCACTTTCAAGTACTACTGGTGGGAATGTAAACTAGTTGGTATTTCAAAAAAAACAGCTACGTACATCAAAAGCCCTTAAAATGTGTACAATCTGATCCAGAAAACCTATTCTATAATTTATTCTAAGAGAGTACACACAGGGACTTCCCTGGTGGTGCAGTGGTTAAGAATCTGCCTGCCAGTGCAGGGGACATGGGTTTGATCCCTGGTCTGGGAAGAACCCACATGCTGCAGAGCAACTAAGCCCGTGCACCACAACTACTGAGCCTGCGCACCCTAGAGCCTGTGCTCCACAACAAGAGAAGCCACCACAATGAGAAGCCCGTGCACCGCAACAAAGTGCAGCCCCTGCTCACCACAACTAGAGAAAGCCCATGCACAGCAACGAAGACCCATGCGGCCAAAAATAAATTAAAAAAAAAAGTAAACACAAGTACACATGATGTATAACCAAAATGTTAGTGCAACATTGTTTATAAAATAAAAACCAGAGGCAACCTATAAGTCTACCAATAAGTAACTGGTTAAACTATGGTACAACCAATACAGGATATACTCACTAAAAATGATGAGCAGGATCTGTACATGTTGACATGGTAAGACAGTAACAATAAGTAAAAAAATAAAATTTAAAAATGGTTTGCAAAACAGCATATATATCTCACTTTTGTCAAAAAGATACATACACAGAACAGAATAAAACTATTTCAGTTGTTTAAAAATAAAATATAGGGAATTCCCTGGCAGTCCAGTGGTTGGGAGTCCCTGCTTCCACTGCAGGGGGCATAGGGTTCCATCCCTGGTTGGGGAACTAAGATCTCACATGCCTCGTGGCCAAAAAACAAAAACAAATAATTATAAATAAAATATTATAAATGCTAAAATTTTATTTAAAAATCTGTCGTATATTATTTGTGTATGGGATAATTTAACTCTGCTAAATCTATAAATGTGTGCTGACTGGCTGACAAGAATACTAGCTGAATCACTGATTTATTGGCTGCTAATTATGCAACAAGCCAAGGGACACAAAACTGTCCTACTGGGCTTCCCTGGTGGCGCAGTGGTTGAGAGACCGCCTGCTGATGCAGGGGACGCGGGTTCGTGCCCCGGTCCGGGAAGATCCCACATGCCGTGGAGTGGCTGGGCCTGTAAGCCACGGCTGCTGAGCCTGCGCGTCCAGAGCCTGTGCTCCGCAACGGGAGAGGCCACAGCAGTGAGAGGCCCGCGTACCGCAAAAACAAAAACAAAAACAAACTGTCCTACTGTAGATAGTAAGAAAAGCAAAAAACTGATGATTAACATAGTATGAGTCAAAAACTGATTTTCAATATAGAAAAAAATCAGATCACTTATTAGCTGAATCAAATGTTGTTATACAGTTTTAAAAAAAATTTTTGATATGTATTCTAAACTGCTTTTAAATAACATAATGAAATATCTGCTTCTAATCAAGATCATGTGAGTATGGGTAGCAACAGTCATTTTTCCTAAGGTAGAATCATCCTTGGAAAAGCTGTAAGTTGAAGTTCTAGACAGCAGGACACAGAGAAGATTCGGGACCCCAAGAGATACTGCCAAAATACAGCAACTCATTAAATAAAGGTTTAAAGTCCTTCTGGCATTCTTACTGATATTACATTTTTTTACTATAAGAATCTGCAGAATCTCTGCTGAATAAAGGCAACTGCTGGATTAACATAACTGGAGTGAACAGCCTCAGGAGGCAGGGTCCAGTAAAAAGTGAGCGATATGGCAACAGTTGTTCATGCCCTAACCCTGAGAAATGAGGCACATTCACTTTTCTACAGAGCAATATAACATGGAAAACTGATTTCAGATTAAGCTACTTGATTATCATTTCATCACAAAACAAAAAGGGATACATTTAAACATATACTTTAATTTTTATCAATGTGTAACATCAGGAATCTGATATTACCCAATTTACCAGTTTTCTTTTGATGACAGAAAGTAAAAGCCCTTAAAATAAGTTGAGTATTTGTCCTGAAGAACAGCAATAAAGGGGATGCAATCTTGGAAGACTGTCTTCCCAGGCTGGCTACAAAGCCAGACCCAAAGAACTCAAGTGGGAAAAGCAGGAGATGACAACAGTGAAGAGGAAAGCAGGCGGAATCCCAGAAGAAACAATGACAACAGTGGGCCCTGAGGGCTTGTCAGGAGGGTCCTGCAACAAAAGATTATGTTCAGCAATTCTATTCCAATTCACACTTTCTGTACAGAAAGTGATCTGGTTCATCATTCTCAGTTTAGATTTAATTTTCTTGACACTCTATAAAGGTAGATAACATTTTGCATTTCCAATTCAGAAATACCATCTAAAGGTTGCCTCAAACACGGTGGCTACAATGGGAACAGGAGAAATATTCCTTGTCTTCTTTCAGAGGAGTTTTCCAAGAATGCATTACAAGGATTAGCAATGACTACCTCTAAAGAGTTTCTTCTCTCAAGTAAATTACTGTCTTGTTGGAGAGCAAAATATACATTCAAAGCATACTCACTGCTCTAAGTGTTAGGTTCCTTTTCCTAAAACCCATGTGGTTTTTGGCCTTTTGTTTTCCATATCTTATTACTTAAAAAATAAATTCATTCTCGAAATACTGTTTCCTGGTTGCAAAAAGAAAATTTATACAGCTCCATATTTAATTCATAGGTCCCAGATTCCTATTAATCTCAGAGTATCTCCTTCCTACTTCATCTCTGTAATTTTTAAAGTTCATCTTGTCATCTACTGATTACAACGGATAATCTTCCAGTGTGCTGAGTGATATGGCTTAGAAAGAAAAACAAACACAGGAAAAACAAATACATCTAAGTTCAAAATTTAAATGAATGGTAGGCATCAAAATCCAGTCCATTTTACAAATTATACATTACTTTTAAGACTAGAGAAAGCAGAAGATCTTTTAAAATGAATCTAAAAACAAAACTGGAAAGTTAAAAGATAGCCAGATTCTGGACTAAAAAAAAAAAAAATCAGGTGACATTCCAGCCTTGGCTTCCCTTTTCAATTAAAATTTGTTCAGAAAATAGTCTAATATCAAGTCCCTGATTTTTGTTTTTTTCCCTTTAGCATGGTTGTATGCTTTGACTATAAAATTAGTTCAGTGAGATAAAATTTGGGGACCAGGATTTTTTTTTTTAAGCCGACTAGCCTAGTTATATTTATCTCAACCTTCATTTGCAGTGCATTCCTTGGATCCACCAAACTGTCACTAGTTCTCAGTATAACAAATTGGAATTCAAAGAGAGATCCATCATTTCTGATGCAATAGTCAGTTAAAACTGCTTCCTAGCCAATGAAGAGTTGTTACTCTTCAAACATTTATTCCTAGCCTTATGGAAATGCCACTATTAAAAACCTTCATTTCTTTCCTCAAGACCCTGCTACACATCTTTTCGCAAACCTACACTGAACAATCTCTCGAACATATTTCAAAGTCTTGCTTTTCATTTGCACTGTTGCTCTTTCCATGGGCAGCTGCAGCTTTAAGCAGCCCTAATTCTAGAGTTTTAGGGGTTAAAAAAAAACAAACCTGAGGCCAACACTGCTCTCCCCTGCAAAAGAAGGTAAAGATGTGGTAAGAACTGTTTCCTACCACCTGTCTCTTAAAGAAAATAAAGTCAATAGCAGCCTAACATCAACAAACTAATATGCTCAGAACAAGTTTTCAGTATAAAATCTCATAGTTTTACTAACAAATATGAAATTTAAGTTGGGGAGAGACATTTTTTTCCTGTCAAGTGGGAAACAGAGGACTTATTGTGAGTTAAAAACTCCCCTCGCTTTGCCCAATGATGAAGCTTTCACATTGTACTATACAAAGAAAGAATGTGCACTTTACTATTATATTCCCCTCAAACCTCCCTACTTCAAATATCTCAATTATGGGACTCCCAAGAAAAAGCCACCTAAATGTTCAAAGCACAGAATAAAGCTCAGAGGAATATAGTAGCTAAGATGAAAAAAGGAATGAAAGAGCCTACGGTCCTTTCTTCTTTTATTAATGGGACACTGTGGTAGATTCAAGAGAGGTGTGGAGGTAGAGAATATTAGTGGATGAGAAAAAAAAAAAGTAGAAGGAAAGAGAAGGTAGGCTTTACTAATTACCTTCTTATTTTCCTGAGAGTTTCAAAGCCCTTGGGGGATAGAGGAGGAACATGTTATTGCACTAAATAAAAGGCAACCCAGTAAGAGAAGGGCTGCATCTCAATTATCTTTTATCTTCAGCTCTATCCTTGCAAGCCTGCCCCCTTAAGCTTTTACACCACTTTCCTGTCTTATTACCTCTATGTTGTGGTTTGGTAGGTAGTTCAAGCAAACGCTTTTTTTTCTTCCTGGAGGAAAAAGATGGTATTGATTTGCTTAAAAGTACGGATGGAAAGTATTATCTTGAGGAGTAAATGCTTCTAAATAACAAAACTACTGATTTATCTATTCCTTTGACTGTCAGCACACCGCTAAAGGCTAAAAGAAGGCTGAAGAGGGAGGTATGTACATCCCCAATGTCAGGTCTTTGTTTCCTTGTTCTTGCGGTACTGGCTTTGCCAAGTAACCCAATTCCTGTAAATAAACATGACAGGTCTATGATAACTACTTCTATAAAATAAGATCTTGTTTGGCTGTTTTTAAATAGCAGTTACTCATTTCCATAGCTGCTAGTCTGCTCTGCTGCTCCATCCTTTTAAATTTAGAAGGGAACGAAAATTCAAATTTTCATTTTAATTCTGGACCAAAAACCGGACCTCTTTCCTACAGCAGATATTTTGCAACTTTAAGTTGACTCCTATGCCTGAATTAGTGGCATGTGCTTTTGTTCTATAAAAAAAAAAAAAAGGAAAACAGAAAGAAAAGAAAAAAAAAGAAGCAGCCGTCTTTCTTTCTCTTATTGAGGAGGCACCTAACTCTTCAAAAGCCTCTAGGAAGCTGCTAAAACGTCTTGAAATATTTTAACAGCAGCTTTATTTCAGAGGCTACGGATGAACTGCCCCGCGGTACCCCAGGGCAAACACACGGAGCATCAAAGCGGGCAGCGGGGGAAGCCTCGAGGAGGGAGCAGCAGACTTTGCGAACTGACTGGAGGGCGGGGAGGGAACAACTTTTAGGACTGGAAACAGGAGGCCGGTCAGATGCTGAGACACCGCCCGGGCCCGGGGAAGCCTCGACGCGGGTCTCGGGCGGACCCCCGCGCCCCGACGCGCAGCCCTCGGTGCATTGTCCTCCCCGCCGGCGGCCGCGTCCTTCACCCACGCCCCGGGCGGCCCCGGAGCGCCACACGCCCCCGCGGCGCCCACCGAAGCGAAGGGCTGGGCCGGGGTCGGCGCGGAGGGAACGTGGGCCACACTCGCACAGGTTGCCCGGCGCGAGCTCGGGACCGTGAGGGTTAATCCTGTCCGCGGGCATCTGTCCGCCTCAACCCCCAGCCCCAAACCCCGCGCCCCGCCGGCCCGCCGCCCACCCCGAGAAGCCCCGAGACACCCCGCCACAGCCCGGCACCCAAGGCTTTTGTTTTGGCCGCGACGAGAATAACGATCCCTGAGGAGGAGCTGCCGGGGCTGCTGGTGGCTCCTCGGCATAGGGTTAGACCGAGGAGCGGGCAGCCTCGGCAGCACCTCCTCAGTCCCCACACTCCCCGAGCCCTCTTCCCGCTGAGCCGGACGGGAGAGCCGCACGCTCCGGGGCTCACCTCACACCTTGGGGCCGGGCTCGTGGGGGGGCTGCGGCGCCGGCCGTGGGTGGGCGCGGGTCCCTCAGGTAAACGGAGCGAAGGAGGACCTCCGGCGCGCGCCTCAAGGCGACCGCGAGCTTTCGCGAGCGCCGGGGCGCGCGGCCAGCGGAGCGAGCGCGCGCGCGCACGCACGGCGCAGGCGCGCTGCGCAGGCGCGGCCGAGCGTTCCCGTTTTGAGCCCACCTGCCTGATACCCGCTCCGCTCGCCTCGTTTTTCCCGGATTCGAGCCGCTGGTGGTGCCTGGCGCCTCCTACCTCGCTGCGGAGTCGTTCCGAGCTCTGGAAGCGTTTTTCTTAAATAACCCCCTTTGCAAAGCCATCCCTCTTTTCCCTGCTGAGACAGCGCGGCGACTCTCATCTCTCAACCCTGGGATGCTAGTATTGCGAGACTACCAGGACCTGTTTTGAGAACCAGTGTGACCCCGGGGACCCGGGAATTGGAGATGGTTAAGAGGCGGGTCACCAGCTGCTGAGGGTGGCCCTGGGTTCAGGTGGAGGTAGTCAACTGGCCTGTTGCAGAGCTCCAGGCTGAAACAACAGAGCAGACGGGATACCTGCCCATGAACAGTTTATATCTACTTTACCAACACCTTAGTGGGCAGGTGGAGCTTGTGGATGATTGGTGGCATTCCCCCATCTTTTGCTCCTTAGGAAACGTTTCTCCTCGCTTTTTCTACGTAAGTAATTTTAGAACTGAAAGATTTCTTAGAAGTCATCTAAACCCAACCTCTCATTTTTCAGACGCGGAAAAGAACGGTCCAGAAAGGTTAAATGAATTACCCAAAATCACACAGCGTTTTAATGGCTGAGTTTGGATTCATTTCAAGCCAAAACTGTTCCTCTTTTTGCCTACATTATTTTACCTACCTTTCTCTTCCTTTTCGTCCGTTTTCAGCCTAGACTTCACAGGCATCATTTTGATCTGTGGTAGCACACAGGACTTAAAGTACTATTTTGATATTGTCCCACAATATGAATGTACTTAACATAACTGTACACTTGGTTAAGATGGTAAATTTTGGTTCGTATATTTTAACATAATCTTTTTAAAGGTGTTCCCCAAATGATAAATAAATGTTGAGCTGAGACAGCCATAAATACAGTTGAATGTCAGAAGATGAGCTATGGGAAAGCGCATCATAAAAGAGATCTGCAGAGACATTTTCAATTTCGTTGATAAATAACTGCTCGTGCAGTAACATTAAAAAAAAAAAAAAAAAGTAGTATTGATCCTTAGGCTGATTCTTAGCAAGTCATTGTGTCCTGTGGAGCCAACACTGCCTCTACTGAGGGTGAGTGAAGAAGCTGAGAGTGTTTGTGAAAATCTGTGTGGACCTGCTTCATGTACTTCCAGATCTCTTGTACCTGCAGATCTTCTGGAGATGTGCTGCTAGCACATTTTTTATGCAATTTACACACGGACACATTGAAGCTGTCAGGCACAGAACATATCTTGGTTCACACCGGGAGGTGGGAATGATGTAGAAATTATCACCGAATGTAACAACATGATCACATCTCAGAAATAGAACACTGAGTGGAAAAACCAAACTACAAGATATGTAAATTATGATAGCTCTCTAAAACCGCTGTATTGTTTATGAGGTCAACCATGTATATACAGTAAGCATAAAAAGTGGACTAGTGGGCTACACAGTAATTTCCTGTGTTGCCTCTAGGCAAGCAGGGTGGGGAATGAGATCTGAGAAGCATGCAAAAGGGGCTTCAACTGTTAATCACACACAGGAAGCAAAATGTTAACATTTAAAAAAATCTCTGTGGGGAGACAAGGGTGTTTCTTAGGCAAGTCTCTAAACTTTTCTTTGTGGTTGAAATGTTTCATTTAAAAGTAATGTTGAATTATCAAGGATATTGAGCCAGTGCGCTCACCATGAACACAGGTCTAGAGGGTGCTGGTTGAGAGGATCGAAGAAAGGGACCTTATTTTCATGGATAACAATATTCAGCTCTAACAGGGTTAAAGTGTTCTGCTCTCTTTAAACCCATCTCTCTTTCATTCAATGTTGTAACCACCAGTAGAAAATCTTTAATGAGCGGGAACTTCACAGAGACGCAGCACTCTCCCAGCATGTTGTTAAAACTGGTCTCTTTCTGGATGAACCCGTCTTGAAACCATACATGTTAACTGGTAATACACGGTAATTTAGTATTGCATCTACCTACCTCCCCCAGGCCTCTGGCCCTGCAAAAAGGCTTTGTTTATTCATTTTACATACAACCTGATCATGCGGAAAAACCACGAGGCTGGAATTCAGACAACCTAGGTTCTAATTTCAGTTTGGCCACTTACTGATCCTTTGTCAACTCATGGAAAGCAACAACCTCTATGAGCTTCACTTTTCATTTTCTTATTAAATGGGAGATATACAAATGCTGCCTATTTCAAAACTATGAAACGTTACAAACATAGAGTTTACATTTGTTTGCATAGGAGTACATTTTTATCTATTTTAGGAAATATTAGATAGTGAGAAAGTCTTTTTTGTTTGTTTGTTTAGCTGCTGCCCATAAGAACTGCTTTACATTTACCAGAGAAGCTCCATTCTGAAATGTTGAATGTTTTGTTTTTCTCTAACACTTGTTTATAGTTCTATCACAGTAGTTATCACTGTGGTCCTTACAGTAGTTATTTCTACACTGCATTTTCCAGGCTTCCTCATTAGATTTCTTTTTTAATCCTTGCATTCTCACTCCGCCTCTCATTACATGGTTGATACTCCACAAATTTAATTAATTAAATTAGACCGATCCTAAAATTTCCCAAATTTGGAGCTATTCTTATTAAGGCATGCCATCTGCTGGTTCCCTGGTGTATCTGTCAATCGGCCTGAATTCTTTAATCCAATAAATTAAAAGTCATGTTGAAGCATTTGCGAGTTTGTGTGTTGGGCAGTTTTCCCACGTTCTTCCACTTCCTGTGTGCAGGTGCTATTCTTTCACTGAACCTCTCTAGAATTCTTTTTCCTCCAACCTTCTTTTACCTGTTGGCCACTCTTAAAACCCGGAGAAATGGAGTTGACATTTTGGAACCCTGGAGCGACCAGAACGATGTAACTGGGCATGCTCAGTAGGTTGGCCTGATTTGGAACACACGTCTTGAATGAGGGCTTTTAAGGCTGTTTATTTCGGGATCAGCTGCATCTTCGTACTAGCATTATATTGGGAGATTGCAGTCCCTCCGACCCTCTTGGCGCTCACACTTTTTCGTTTTATCCGTGCTTCCAATTTTGGAGCCAGCCCTCCAGGATCTCCTGGCCAATCAAGAGACCACATGTTGTTGCCTAAGAGACCCGAGATGCCAGCGAAAAGATTTCTAGGCGGTGATTGGACTACTGGAAGGGGTGGGGGCTAGACAGAGTCAAAGAAACAGCAACTATGGCAACACCAGCGCCAGAGGCTTGAAGAGAAAGACGAACCAAAAGAGGTGAGAGCAGTGGGCAGTGCATGAAAAAGATGGAGACTTTCGTTTGAGAGCTCCTTTCTCAGATCCTCCTGGGTCTCTCACAAACCTTGGCAGTGCCCCCCGGGAATTACATTTTGCTCCGTTTCAGCTGCAGTTCAAGTGACAGATGCTTCATATTTCTGAAATTAACAACCAACAAATAATTGTTTCTATGCCTATCAAGCACTAGCTCTTTGAACGGTATTATAGTTTTTCTGTTTCTACCTAGTTGAATATCAGATGAATTCATATTTAAGTCTAACCATACCCTCTTTCCTGATAATTTCCTGATAATATCTGATCTCCTCTGATGATAATGCAATGTACAATGGGTGAGATGTATGTTAGTATAGAAACTCAATCCTCTTCCACTCTGTAAACTCCAAATAAAAATCTGATCGTCCTGAGTTTAATACCAGTGGTCAGTTACTAATGTTGAGTTTTATCCTTCCCTTCCACTAGTTTTAATCCTTAAACCGCCTCCCCTCCACTGTTGTATTCATTCATTCAGTTGACAAATATTTATTGAGCACCCATTATGTACTACTGAGATTAGGATTCAGGTGAGCAGTGTCAGAAAACCACATAAGCAAAGAAGCATCAGTTTTGTACCATGTTCTCTGATCTGAAGTTCAGTGTGTCTGGGCAGATAGTGCATGAAGGGAGAGAAATGAGGATGAGGCTGAAAAGGTAGGTGGAGGTAAGTTCATAGTGGACCTAGATTTGCATGCTAAGAAGCCTGGATATTCTGTAGCCATTATCAAGCCTCTGAAGGTTTTTGAGCTGAAAAATGACAGGTATTTTTAAAAAATACCTCCCAAGGAGAGTGGTGATTAGCAAAGGTTGGGGGGGTGGTGAGGAAATGGGGAGATATTGATCAAAGGGTACAAACCTCTGGTTATAAAATGAATGAGTTCTAGAGACCCTATGTACAGCATTGTGACTATAGTTAATAATAATGTATACTTGAAATTTGCTAAACGAGTAGATCTCAAGTATTCTCATCACACACACACACACACAAACGCTAACTATGGGGGGGCGATGGATATGTTAAATAGTTTGATTGTGGTTAGTATTTGACAATGTATACATGTATTAAAACATCACGTTGTATACCTTAAATATATACCTTTTTTATTTGTCAAAAAAACAACAAACAAAAAAGAAACCTCTCTAGCAGTAGACTTTTAGCTCCATTATAGCCAAGACTCTCGTCTTTGTACCTCTAATACAGGCCTAATAAGGTCCTTAGTGCAGTTGAATAATGGTGACAGTGTGAAGAATGGCTTAGAAGATGGGATTGGAGGTACGTGGCCACTGGAACTTTACCAGAGGACCTATCTTTGCCTTTAAACATGGAACTAGAACCACACATTGGGGGTAAGGGCCATAAGCCCTTTTTCTTCCTTTTTATCCAAAGAAAAATTAAAGACGAACATTTAACCACAGCCATTAAGGGGAAAAGAGGTCATAAAAAAGCAACAGCAAGCTTTGTATGTTGAAGGAGGGACGACAACTTGCTTTGTCTTGTTATTTTTATGTATATTGTATAAAAGTGTCTGGGTGGTCTATACTGTGAACTGGTGTGGGCATGCAAATATGCACGGTGCCCATCTTCTAGAATGGATGGAGGAGGAAAAACTGTAAAAGGATAATGACAAAAGACAGAGCAGGGCACCTCCATTTGCCTGCTTCAGCAAGAATATTACCAAGAGGTCTCTTTCTCCCGGCCTGGCCCATCTCCTGAAAACCAAACTTTCCTCAAGTTGATTTGAAGAAAGCCTAATTCAAATAATTTCTAGCTCTGAACGACCCAGGACAAAGAAAACAACCAGTGTAAGGCCTTGGGGAGGCCCTAGAAAAGCTACTTTCTCCTAATCAGAAATTGTGCCTAGAATCAGTCAGATTGTTTCCTACACAAACTGGAAAGAGAGAGAGAGTTTCTCAGCTTACAGAAGGAGTTTTCATCAGATTCTCAAAGAATTTTATGGCCCTGAAAACAAAAGATTGAAAACAATCGGTTTAGGGAATTCCCTGGTATTCTAATGGTTAGGGCTCCACACTTTCACTGCTGAGGGCCTGGGTTTATAGAATTTTTTTTTAAATTTTATTTATTTTTGGTGGCATTGGGTCTTCGTTGCTGAGTGTGGGCTTTTTCTAGCTGCGGCGCGCGGGGGCTACTCTTCGTTGTGGTGCACAGTCTTATTGCGGTGGCTTCTCTTGTTGTGGAGCACTGGCTCTAGGCACGCGGGCTTCAGTAGTTGTGGCACGAGGGCTCAATAGTTGTGGCGCACGGGCTTAGTTGCTCCACGGCACGTGGGATCTTCCCAGACCAGGGATCGAACCTGTGTCCCCTGCATTGGTAGGTGGATTCTTAACCACAGGGAGGGCCCCGGGTTTAATCCCTGGTTGGGGAACTAAGATACCACAAGCTGCACAGAGCGGCCAAAATAAATAAATAAATAAATAAATATTTAAAATAAAACAAAGAAAACACCAATTGGTTTAAAGAGAAGAAAGGTCAAACATGAATAAATAACAATAACAAAAAAGAAATATGTGATTTTTAACTGAGCAGATCTAGATTCAGTGACCATGCTTCGTACCTATAATTTGCCTGCTCACGTGTACTTTTATAGCTGCCAATTAATAACACTGTAATGAAATCATTTCTTACACCTTTTGCAACATAGCTGTTTGGAGCTAAGAATATAAGGACTGATCTGAACCCCCTTATTCCCCCTTATGCCAGTGGAGTGGTGACAGCAAAAAACTGTAGGAAGATACTGCCTACTGTTTAAAACCCTGAGATTTTAAAACATTGGCTTTATCTTCAGCTCTAACTTAAACCTGAGAGAGAATATTACATGTCAAGTGAGAGCCTCAAAATTTCAGATCTAGCATTTGGGGAATCCTCTATCAGTTAAAAACTAGTGATTTTTTTTTAAAGAGCTGTCCAGTATTTGCTGCTGTAATTTTCGCAGCCCAGAGATCAAGCAGGCAAGTAAGTCCTAGCCCCCTCACTCAGCACCACTTCCTTGGATATGAAACCTACCTACAGAGAGGAAGAAAAGCACAAATAAGCAGAAACATTGAGGATACATACTGAAAATACCATCAGTCTGCTTTAAATATTTTTCACCTTAAAATATTTTGTTGTGGGCTTCTAAAGGACAGGCTTTGAGGCACTCTGTAAATGACAGGGAGTTCTAAGAAAGGCTGCAGGGATTCTACTTATCAAGACCACTCATCTGTCAGGCATTCTGCTTGAGCCTTTTTTCTCTAACCTTTGCAACAGCAGTTGAGGGTAGATATGCACATCCTTATTTTACAAATAAGGAAACTGAGATGGATTAAATAACTTGCAAAAAGTTACACAGCTAGTAAGTTTTAGAACCAGGATCCAAACTGTATAAGGTAAAAAGTTTTGGTTGCAAACAACAGAAATAGCTTCTAGCTAATGGAAGCTAAAGAAGAGATTGATTTATTGTATCAGCTGGCTTACAAAATGAGTAAGAAAGGACAAGGGGCTTCTGAAGGTTGAGGCAGCAATAACAGCTTATTAGTCTGCTCAGAGCACCTATGGTACTTTGAATGACCACCTCAGCTGTAAAGTAAGGATAAGCCAGCATCAGTAAACTGGCCTAGGGGAATTCCCTGGTAGCTCCAGTGGTTAAGACTTGGCTCTTTCACTGCTGTGGGCCTGGGTTCAATCCCTGGTCAGGGAACTACGATCCCACAAGCTGAGTGGTACAGCCCCCCCCCCCAAAAAAAGTAAACTGGCCTAGCTTGGTCTCATGACTGGGGAGGGGGAGGCCACCTTGATTAACCAACACAGCAGACTCTAAATAATTAGGGAAAAGTAATTCCTAATGGAAACTAGAGTGCTTTAATCAAATGAAGGAAGACATATTTAGTACTGGACATCTAAGAACAGCACATTTCCCCCATTAAACCCAAATCTGTCTGTATCCAAAGTCTTGGCTTTATCTGTTGTACCATTCTACCTCTTAAATATGGTATCAAGCTAGAACCCTTGTTACCCAGATGTCAGAAAGATAAGAGGGGAGGAGGAAGGTCACAAGGGACAAAGATAGAGTGTTTTTATATTGCACTGTGATTTTATAAATACTTCTTTCTGGCCAATATGGTATGTTCTTAGCTAGGAGAGGTTCTGGATTTCCCCCATGGTTCAATGAAAATCAAGCAGAGTTAAATAGACCTGGGTCTGATTTCCAGTTCTCCGCTTACTGTCTGTATAAATTTGGGCAGAGAGTATTATTTCAGTGAGCCTCATTTTCTTCATCTGTAACATGAGCTAAAACCCACCACCTCACCAGATTGTTATGAGTTTTATTTATTTATTTATTTATTTTTGGCTGCGTTGGGTCTTCCTTGCTGTGGGCAGATTTTCTCTAGTTGCGGCGAGCAGGGGCTACTCTGTTGCAGTGCGCGGACTTCTCATTGCGGTGGTTTCTCTTGTTGTGGAACACGAGCTCTAGGCATGCGGGCTTCAGTAGTTGTGGTGCATGGGCTCAGTAGTTGTGGCTCACGATCTCTGGAGCACAGGCTTAGTAGTAGTGGCACATGGGCTTTGTTGCTCCGTGGCATGTGGGATCTTCCCGGCCCAGGGCTTGAACCCGTGTCCCCTGCATTGGCAGGCGGATTCTTAACCACTGAGCCACCAAGGAAGCCCTGTTACAAGTTTTAATTGAGCAAACATAAAAGTTCCTGACATATAAAATGTTCCCAATAAATGTTATCCCTCCCATTCCCTGGTCCCAACGTACTAAAAGATTATATGGTATTAGTAATTTTAGTATTCTGAAGATTATATGATTCATTTCTTCTACAGGTATAGTTTTTCTTATGGAAGAATATCCAGTTATTTCATGATGGCATTTGCACCTCCAAAAAACATAGGTGGTCCCAAAATGCAGGCAAAGATGAGTACCTGGACACCCCTAAACCATCAGCTTTTGAATAACCGGGTAAGTGATGAGCTATTTTATCAGTTGGGTCCACGCCTTAAAGAAAAAAAAGTATTAAAATCTTGGTTATCAAAATATAAACATTAATTGTTTGGGACTGTGTAATGGATGAAAAAACAAAATGAAGGACTTTTTCAGAAACTTTAACTGAACGCTTGCTACATGGCCAGGGTTGGCAGTAGACACCGAGTTCCTGCCTAGAAAGAAAGGTCTTAGAATTGCTCTTTCCTCCACTGTCACTCCTCCTCTCTCTCACCCCAAATGCCCTTTCCCTTCTATCACTGGTTCTTTGCAGGAACCACCGGAAATGAAAGAGGAGGGGGTGATGTGTGAGGAGTTCCCCGCAAAATAGGTTTTCTTGCTAGAGTTGAGGTTACTGGATAATGCTGTACATTTAACCAAGTAAATAAAATGAGTCAACGTCAGCTGATTACTCACATTACTCGGATTCCCCTAAGAAGTTTATTTGCCACCTGCGTTCTGGGGAGGTGCCAGCAGAATACACCAGAAAAAGCATTGCAAGTGTGGACAGCTGGGTATCATGCAGGCATGTGAGATTGCCAACCTCTGGGGATTTCTACTCCTGCTTCAATTAGGGGGAGAATTTCCAACACGTCTGTGAGCTCCTATATCAATACTTATATACAAGGACCATATCTAGTTGACAGTAAATTACAATCAACATCAATAAAACTGACCTCATTATCTTGCTCCTACACACCAGTTCCTCCCCCTAAGGAAGGGCATCACTTTACACCAAATCACTCAAGCTGCAAATCTTCCTTCTCCCTCTTGGGTCCAGGGTTTGGTTTTCCACATCTTACAAGCTAATAACTTAGCCTGTTACTTATGGCAAAGTCACTACTGTTTCACAGTAGAAGACAAGAGATGCTTGGGTCAGAGACAAAGAACTTTCTTACAATGCAGCAAGGGGTGTGAACATGATGTTTGCACAGGTTCTCCTGGCCCACCTTGTGCCACAGGGGTGATGCAGAGACCCAGATAAATACTACACACACAGTGAGTTTGCACCACAGCTGAGGAACAAGGAGCCCAGGGAATCCACTGCTTTCATACTGAGCATTAGCAAGGCTGCTCTTGGTTCTAAAGGGAGTTAGTACCTCACCCCCCAAGGTTCCTTGCTGCCAGCACAGCCTGGAGTAATGGCCCAAGGAAAGGGCAGTCAGGACCTTGCACTTCTGGCATTTCAAGATATTTAGGAGATGAGAAGCTCAGGAAGGAGTGTCTACCACTGCTCTCCCTCACTCCCACACGCAATTCGTTTTGAAGCTCTATGAGTCTTCCTCCTAGGTCTCTTCATCCGGACCCCTTTTCTCCTTTCACTGTGTACCTCCAGCTCCACATTCTCAGTTCACGCCCTCATCACACTTTGCCTGGCACATTGTAGTAACCACCCCAACTGGTTTCACTGCCTCTATCCCTAGCAATCCATCCTCTCTTCTGATCCCAAAATGATCTTTCTAAAGTACCAAACTAATCCTATTAAGTAAGACTGATAACACGCTGCTCCAAAGGGTAAATTCCAACCCCCGCCCCACACATAGCACTGAGGACCCTTCATGAGTTGACTCAACCAGCATCGCAGTTCAAGCCCTGCCTCTGCCTCCTCTCATCCTACATACGGGCCAAGCTCTCTCATCCCTTCCACGCCTTTGTAGTACTCTCCTCATGGCCTCCTGTAAGAGTTATCTGAAATGTTATTTCTCGGGGAAGCCTAATCCCCCTTGCTTTTCTTTCCTCTCATCACTGTTTACCGACTTCTCCACTTGACTCTAATGTGTTTTTATATGATTTTTCTTTTTGTTTTTTAGGCCGTGCCGTGCGGCCTGCAGGATCTTAGTTCCCCAACCAGGGATCAAACCCATGCCCCTTGCATTGGGAGCATGGAGTCTTAACCACTGGACCACCAGGGAAGTCCCGACCCTAATGCGTTAAGGGTTGCGATTCTGTCTTTTCTCTCTGCATCTCCAGAGCCTGATGTGTTTCCTGAAGCACAAAGAATGGAGTCAGAGGTCAACTGTACTCCCTGAGACCTCCTTCATTGACTCTGACCTTCTTGTCCCCACGTCTCTCCTTCCTTAGCCTGGATTTGACCCTTTGCCTCTCTGAACTAACAGATATGCTAATCGCTCTGGCAAAGCATCCATCCTGACCCCTTCTGCTCAGGACTTTCCTGTTTCTACTCATTTGATGCAGAACATGAGCAAATTTGGGAGAGAGACAGAGGAACCAACATAGCGATCGGAATACTGAGAAGTAAAAGGGAGAGATACTGGAAAGGAAAAAGATAAAGGAAGTGAGGAAAGGAGATCGAGAAATAGAAAAAAGAAAAAGGAGGCACAAGGAGAAACAAAAGAAGCAGAGAGAGAAATCCAGCCTTCACCCAGCCAGGAGCAAAAAACAAGTCTATTGACAGTCTTTTTTAATTCAGCTCAACAGTTATTTATTGAGCACCTGTTTGCAATGCTCTTAGTTCTCCAACAGTTTATATAGCAGCTTCTCTGCTTTCTGCCCCCAGAAACTCCAGTGTTTAGTTTTGAAATACATTTTCTCATAGAATTGTAAAGGTTTTACGCACGTGAAAAAGTGACTTGAATTGAAATACGTATTCGTTGGATGTCTTGATTTTCAGAAATTTTCTTTGAAAAATGAGAAGTCTTCATCGATTTAGCAGCCATGGAGAAAAAATAGCTTGATTGATTGTCTGATTGCCTGTTGCACGTTGGGTTACTGGAGAAGCAGACTCTGAGATTGGCATGTAGGGCGTTGATGGGGGAAGGCTCTCAGGATCCATACCTGGGGAGGTGTGGGGAGGGAACAACGGGTTGTAGATTTAGGGCAGAGGAAGAAGCTGGGCTGTCAGGCAGTTGCAACAAGGCCTCCATGGACCGTGTAGGACACCCCAAATATCCTTCATAATCTTGCATTGCATCAGGGAGCCTGGCCTTTATACTTCCACACTGAGCATTCAGTGGATGGGATCTTAGTCAGGGCAGATCTCTCCAGCTCATGGCTGTCAGCCAGCAGCACTCCCAACAGTTGGGGGGAATAAATCCTTCAGTCCTGGAGGGGAATCTGGGCCGCGCATAATAGCAAGCATGACACAGCCTTATCTTGGTTCCTGAAGAGCTTTCATCAAATTTCATGATAATTTCTAAAGATGATATTTATTTTGTTGTTCAGAACTCCCATTTTATCCCAAAATTGCTTTATTTTGGTTTAGTTAGGTTCTAGTTTGGAGTAAAATTATTTTTAAAAAACTTGGGGGACTTCCACTGCAGGGGGTGTGGGTTCGATCCCTGGCTGGGGAACTAAGATCCCACATGCCGCGGTGTGGCCAAAAAAATTAAAAAAAAAAAATCTTGGCATGTGTATATACCCATATGTCTGTGGATTAATGTACATAGACACACCCATGGAATTTGGATATGTATATACCAAACTATTAATAGTGGTTTCTCCCAAAGAGTTGGATGGCATGGGAAGGTGGGAGGGAGGTCTGTTAGAAGAGTTTTTGGTGTTTACTTTATACAGTGCAATAATATTTCAAATTTTAAAACAATTTAAAAAACAAATATAAATAAAAGCAAACAAAGAACAAAAACTCTGAGAATTGAAAACACATGTTCCAGATCAGCTGTACTAATAATCTCCTGCTTGACTTCAGTGAGTCACTTACATCTCTGGTCTTTACTACCTTCCTTTGGAAAATGAGTGGGTTGGGTCAGATGACCTCAAAAGTCCCTTCCAGATCTAACATTCTGACTGTGTGAAAAGGATTAAAAATAGATGGCCAAGGATACAGCTCGGCAAAAGGTGTCCATACAATAACTTCAAGGGCTACTCTGTATTTCTAAAACAGGGCGTTTGTCACCAATGATCAGCGTAATTTTGAGGTTCTGTTTTTTGTTTTTAATTTTGCCTTTTTTCTGCTCTGTAGTAAAATGTGAAATACGTAACTGTCTCAGACTGAAAGTCACAGGGTTTTAACTTCACAGCAGGCTTTAAGCATAGAGATTGAATTCAAATGTAAACACCTAAAAAAAATAGCATCATCAGTTTAGGCAAATATAACAGATTATAAAATAATTCAGGCATTGTGAACTTTGAGAGAAGGAATGTTTTAAAAGTATGTATTTCTTTGCCATCCAGTGTTTTAATTGAAAATGATCAACATTTCTTTTTGAGTATGGTTCGCACATGTAGTACAGTACATGTTAAAAGGGTGTTCTGAGAAAAAGCACATAACTACCATATATCTGTCATAATTTAGGAGCCCCGAAATGTCTTATTCCTAACTTTAATGATGTCACATGGTAAAATATGCAACTGCAGTGTCAACAGACTAAAATAACAACCGTGGGATTTTGACTTAACAGCAGGCTCTGAGTAAACTGTGATGTAAACAGGCAACAGCATTCTGCAAGGAAAGAAGACCCACTTTAACGTTTCCACTTGAAGCGATGTTTCCCAGCTCTTTTTTTTAATTGGAGTATAGTTCATTTACAATGTTATATTAGTTTCAGATGTACAGCCAGCTGATTCAGTTATACAAATATATATATATATATATTCTTTTTCAGATTCTTTTCCCTTACAGGTTATTACAAAATATTGAGTATAGTTCCCAGTGGTATGCAGTAGGTCCTTGTCAGGTATGTATTTTATATAGAGTAGTATGTATATGTTAATCCCAAACTCCTAATTTATCCCTCCACCCCCTTCCCAGATCTTGAAGATGAAAAACCTGATTGCAAATCCTTGGAATGAAGACTTGCTCCAAACCAGAGAATACACGATTCTGAGTCTGACTGAGGACCTGACAATTAAATAATTTGTCCCAAATTATATTTCTTGTCAAGAGCAGAGTCAGAACCAGATCTGAGTTTGTCTGGTGTTTCTCCTCTCCGCCTTTACTCCCATCAGTTTCCACTTGGGTCTAAATGCCTTTTGGTAAAGAATTGGATTTGCTTGGATCCTGCTTAGACTTGGTTGTTGGCTCTCTGAACACTCCACCTCCCACCCTGTTCCTTTCCTGCCACCTTCTTGCTGACCCTCCTCTCCCCTTCAAGTCAGTGCCCTTTCCAATGCCCCCTGTTACCATTGGACACCACGATGGTCAACCCAACCTCCTTTTGAAAGGAGGTTGTGGTCTTGGGACCTAATCTTTTTTTCTTCCCACTGTCAGGCCAAAGTGTGAGCAGCGGTTCACTGAGAATATAGGGCTGGGACTTCCCTGGTGGTCCAGTGATTAACACTCCACACTCCCACTGCAGGGGGCCCAGGTTCGAACCCTGGTCAGGGAACTAGATTCCGCATGCTGCAACAAAAAATCCCACATGCCACGACTAAAGATCCCACATGCCGCAACAAAGATCCTGCACGCCACAACTAAGACCCGGCACAGCCAAATAAGTTTTAAAAATAAATAAATAACACATGTATCAATCTGTCCAACTAAATATAACCTTAAAAAAAAAAGGGAGAACGTAGGGCTGGAGGTCGGGATAGGGAAGACCAGGGATCTAGGGAGGAACCAAGTATAGAGTTGAGCTGAACAGACAGTCTGGAACCAATGATTAACTCTTTGGGCCTCTGCTTATCCCCTCTAAAATCAGGGAATTGAACAAAAAGATCTTAGGATTCCTTTCAGCTCTAAAATTCTACGACATCTGAAACTGTTGTTGTTCCATCAGCAGGTGTTTGTTGAGAGCCTGCTGTGGAGCATATAAGGGAAAGTGATTGTAATCTACACGGGAAGATGAAATGAACAGAATCACCTGGCAGGCAATAGCAAACCCTAGAAAGTCCAGGTGGAGCATGGGCTGCAAGTGGAGGAGGAGCTGGGAGGAGTGAGGTCAGCGGGTGCCGGAAATGTGCTGGTGCCAGGGACTTGGGCTGGGAACTAGATGATTGATAGGATTTGGTTAGACACAAGGGTTCAGGAAATATTTGAATCCTGATTTTTCAATCTTCTGTATTCTCTAGGTTCTCTTCTATTTTTGTTGTTGTTTTGTTTTGTTGTTTTGACAACGCCTGGGGCATGTGGGACCTTAGTTCCCCAACCAGGGATCAAACCCGCGCCGCCTTGCAGTGGAAGTGCAGAGTCTTAACCCCTGGACCGCCAGGGAAGTCTGCTCTTCTATTTTCATTTAGAAATTCTGAGTTTATCTGTTGCCGTTATTTGAGGGTCCAAGTAGCCCAGGTGGCAGTTAATTAGGGGGGAAGGGAGAATGGTATTCTTTTTTTTTTTTTAAAGAAGATAGTGGGGGTAGGAGTGTATTAATTTATTTATTTTTATTTTGGCTGTGTTGGCTCTTCGTTTCTGTGCGAGGGCTTTCTCTAGTTGTGGCAAGCAGGGGCCACTCTTCCTCGTGGCGTGCGAGCCTCTCACTATCGCGGCCTCTCTTGTTGCGGAGCACAGGCTCCAGATGTGCAGGCTCAGTAGTTGTGGCTCACGGGCCTAGTTGCTCCGCGGCATGTGGGATCCTCCCAGACCAGGGCTCGAACCCGTGTCCCCTGCATCGGCAGGCAGACTCTCAACCACTGCGCCACCAGGGAAGCCCGAAAATGGTATTCTTTTTCTTCTCTAAAGTATAAAAAGTGTCTGCCTGTGATGTATGAGGTTCCATGGTTAGTAGCAAAGATGACATTTTACAGGCCTTGAGGTTGTTGTTGAACCAGTTATTTCAATCTCCGTGTCATATGCCCTTTGAAAGTAGAGTTTGAGAGTCTGAAAAAGGAAGGAAAACATATCTGTTGGAAGAATGAAGCCAGCGCCTCATCCTCCTCCACAAAAGGGAAGAAATAGGCCTGAGCTACTTTCCAAATAGGAATGATCTTAACAGTGCGAGAGAATTTAGATAGTGCCAAGAGGCTCAACCACTGCCACCAGGGAAGCCCGAAAATGGTATTCTTTTTCTTCTCTAAAGTATAAAAAGTGTCTGCCTGTGATGTATGAGGTTCCATGGTTAGTAGCAAAGATGACATTTTACAGGCCTTGAGGTTGTTGTTGAACCAGTTATTTCAATCTCCGTGTCATATGCCCTTTGAAAGTAGAGTTTGAGAGTCTGAAAAAGGAAGGAAAACATATCTGTTGGAAGAATGAAGCCAGCGCCTCATCCTCCTCCACAAAAGGGAAGAAATAGGCCTGAGCTACTTTCCAAATAGGAATGATCTTAACAGTGCGAGAGAATTTAGATAGTGCCAAGAGGAAGGGAAAAACATCAGGCCCAATTTTGAAAGCTGACAGAGGGTGTAGTGTAGGAGTGAGAGAGACATTCACATCTGTTCACCGCTGTCTCTTGCTTCCCTCCCCAGAACTCCCTCTTCCGCCAAACATTCTCACATTAGTTGTCCCTTCCTCACACATTCAAATATACAAATGACTGATGCTCGGAAAAACCAGTTTAGAAATACACTCACATTGTACCGATACATCCACAAGGATATTCATTTGTCACGATCACATTCATTTAGTCCGGCAAACATGAGTCCCTGTAATATGCCCTGTACAGCACTCTGCACTGGAGAAGTCAAGGTGACTAAGACATTGTGTCTATCCTAAATAGTATATAGCGACAAACCCATACAGATAAACACTGAGCTGTAAGCCCAGAGGCGCACATATGCAAGTTTCTAATCCTACAAACATATAAGTCATGTACACCCCCCTGATATGTGAATTCATGGAAATATAAAAACAGAGCCACTCACTCATAAATTTCACAGGTTCTTATACTATTGATGCTGAAATATTTGGGGGAGGTTCTCCATTTTCCTGTTTTTCCTTTGTCAGTTTTTTCACCTCCTTTCAAATTGCAAAAATGATTTCACTTCACAATTCCATTCTTATTTCTGTTTTTTCTTTTTGGCCATGCCAAGTGGCTTGTGGGATCTTAGTCCCCAGCCAGGGATTGAACCCGTGCCCCCTGCAGTGGAAGCACGAAGTTCCAACCACTGGACTGCCAGGGAATTCCCAGCTTTTCTTATTTCTTGCCTTTAAAAAATTATTTCTTCCTTACGATGAATTATTTCACATGGAGAAACTGAGAAAAAAGAAACTTTGCCCAAGTTAAAAATAAGTAAAGGTATTTCCCCAGTGGTCCAGTGGCTAAGAGTCCTCACTCCCAATGCAAGGGGCCCGGGTTCAATCCCTGTTCAGGGAACTAGATCCCACATGTGGCAACTAAAAAAAGATCCCGCATGCAGCAACTTAAAAAAAAAAAAGTTCTGCATGCGGCAACGGAGATCCCATATGCCGTAACTAAGACCTGGTACAGCCAAATAAATACATAAAATAAATATTAAAAAAAATCAGTAAAGTACCTTTTCAGGTAAAAAATCTGTTTTATACTCAGTAGATATAATGAAAAGCCTGTCAATATTTATTGATACTTTAATGATGTCTTTTTTGTAATGGGTATTTTGAACCGTGAAATATGAAATCATTCCATTCTTTTTTTTATTTATTGTAGGTATTTGAAGAAAGAAGAGCTCTGCTTGGAAAATGGGTAACTATTTAAAGTATACTTACTTCTCAGTCAGAAAGGGAAAGACAAATACCATATGATATCACTTATATGTGTAATCTAAAGTATGGCACAAATGAATCTACCTACAAAACAGAAACATACTCAGAGACACAGAGAACAGACTTGTGGTTGCCAAGGGGGAGGGGGGGAGGGAGAGGGATCGACTGAGAGTTTGGGGTTGGTAGATGCAAACTATTACATTTAGAATGGATAAACCACAAGGTCCTACTGTATAGCACAAGGAACTATATCCAATCTCCTGGGATAAACCATAATGGAAAAGAATATTAAAAAAAAAGAATACAGGTATATATATATGTATAACTGAGTCACTTTACTGCAAAGCAGAGATTGGTACAACATTGTAAATCAACTACACTTCAATAAAAAAATAATTTAAAAAAAGTAAAAAGTGGGACTTTCAGTGATTAAGACTCCATGCTTTCACTGCAGGGGGTGTGGGTTCAATCCCTGGTCGGGGAACTAAGATCTTGCATGCTGGGTGACACTGCTCAAAAAAAAAAAAAAAAAAAAAAAAATAAATTTCTCTTGTGTTATGTTATCATGGAGCCCAAAGAATTCAGTTTGGACATAAGGTAATGAGCGATTGCTCATTCCCTCAGAAGTTTGACTGGTACTTTCTGTATGTATCAGCTAGCATTCAGTCAGAAAAAAAGAAATCATGCCAGTTATTTTCACAGACATAATTTAATAAATAGAACTGGTTAAATAAATACCAGAAGACAGAAAAGACAAAAAGGGAACATTGAGGTACCGTGGAGCTAGAGATGCAGGAATTAACTACCACCAGCTTCACTGATAACCTCAGGAGCCCAGAGAAAGGACTCTGGAGCTGGGACCATCCCTGCAGAGGACGACTACAGAATAAAATAGAGGCTATCATGGCCAGCTGATTCTGATATATCTGAGGAAGCATGATGTTTCTGGGAGTGTGGAAAAAACAGGATTCAGGAATCAACTGCTATTGCCAGGCTGGAGCTAAGGTGATAAGTGCCAGGAACAGCAAGGAAGCAGAAATGAGTGAGGTTCATCTCCCTCAGTTTCCCTCTAGTGACCCCTCCCCATTGGCAGTATTTAACAGGGAGCCCGCCGTCAAAGGAGAAATTTGGTTTGTGGAGCCCTAGCCTTCCGTATTCACAGAATATGGGGTGGGTTTGGATCTGAGAGTTGATAGCTTAGAAACCAGCACAGCTCACCCACTTAACTCCTTAGCATCCATATACACCCCTCTATGTATACTTAAACTTCCAGAGGAACACTGTAACAACTTTATGCTTTTACCTAACAAGATATGACTATCCTTAGTGCAAAGACTTTCACATTCTTCCTCAAAGGAAACACGGTCCCAGTGACTATTGTCCATCATGATCGAAGTCCGCATCTCTGAGCAATGCGTACTACTCCTCAAATTCCTCACCCGATAGTCTCTTCACTTAAGAGAACTGAAAACACGACTATGCAGAAACTTGCACTTTTAGGTGAATAGTCTTTTGTACCTTCTGAAGTTTTAACCATGTGAATGTTTTTAATCATGTGAAAGTATTACCTATTCAAAAGAGTACTAAAATTTTATAAAATAAATTCACTAAAGGGACTTCCTTGGCAGTGCAGCGGTTAAGACTTCCCGTGCTTCTAATGCAGGGGACATGGGTCAGGGAACTAATATCCCACATGCCGCGCGGTGTGGGCCAAAAATATATATATATTCTAAAATAAATTCACTAAAAATTAATTGAAAAATACTGCAGTCTAGCTAAGTTTTTCTCATATTCTATTTATGTTTTTAAACTAACTTTGCATCTGTTACCAGAAACTTTAAAAAGACATTTATTTAGAATGACTGTATTTGCACTGTCATTCCACTTACTATTAGTGGAAATCCCTAAATTTATATAACCAGGGCTAATGTTCAGCCAGTGCTCAGTGGTATGGCTGACCAGCTACTGTCTGTTTTGATTGGTTGTTAGCATTGTCAGTTGTTAAATATTTTCAATATCACCCTGGATGAAGTTCAAGGTCTTCAAAGTTTTTAAAAGGTCCTGTTTATTCTTTTCTTTTACCGTAACTAATAGAAACATATATTTGCAAAGATCACTAATTATCTGTCTACTGCAATTGGCTAAACTACAGGGGGTAGGCATGGTTCTATCATACTCCTTGTTATACATTCCTTGATGCTATCAGACATTTAATAAATATTTTCTAAATGATACTCACTGGTTTTTCTCTTTTGCCTAACAACAAACTTATTCCTTAAATTCACTAGATCACATAGTAATCTTTATACCCCCATGAAAGCTACATCAATTAAGTTTCAAGGGGATATTTCCAAATTTATTTTATTTTATTTTTTTTGCCTCTCCCTGTGGCATGTGGGATCTTAGGTCCATGACCAGGGATCAAACCCATGCCCCCTGCAATGGAAGTGCAGAGTCTTAACCTCTAGACCACCAGGGAAGTCCCTCCAATTTACTTTTATTCAGTTTTCTCTCTCCATTTTAATTTTTAGGTTTTTTGTTTGTATACTTTACAAACAACAGAAGAGATTGATAACATAAGAAATGCATTTTCCGAAAAAGAAAGGAGAAATAAGGATGTCGATTTAAACATAATATTACTTGGGATATTCATTGTAGGGACTAAGTATTGGTTTTAAAGGTCCATCTAGTATTAGAAATAAAGTCATTTTTTAAAACAATCTGGATAGTAAGAGGCAAGATTTAATATGAGACCTATTCAATGATAAACAATTCAAAAGTATTTTATATTTAGCCATAGAATGTCATTTTTGTTCATACATGGCAAATGTCTGATGTTCTGTACAGTTACAAACAAAATGATTAAGAGAAACTGAAAAAAAGCTCTTCAGCTTTGCTGATCCATGCTATTACTTAATCCATTTTCTCTTAAATCTTCTCTGCCCTTCAATCCCTGTTAGAAAAGGCAGCTACTTCCCAATGGACAGAAAACACCAGCAGAAATATTTCAGTTGGAAAGATAGTATTTCAGACTTTTTCTCAGCTTCTGCTATGTTGTTAGAAATAATTGTAATGTTATAAAGAATTTGATTAAAGTAGATGGCATCACTTTTAACTTGCTGGAAACAACCATAATCAGAGTTAAAATTCCAAAGAGAAACAGGAAAATATTTTGCAAGTTGCTTGATGAAGATTAATATCTGATGAATGGATAAAGATGATGTGGTGCATATGTACAATGGAATACTACTCAGCCATAAGAAAGAATGAAATAATGCCACTTGCAGCAACTTGGATGCAACTAGAGATCATCATACTAAGTGAAGTAAGTCAGAAAGAGAAAGACAAATACCATATGATATCACTTATATGTGGAATCTAACGTACGGCACAAATGAACCTATCTACAAAACAGAAACAGACTCATAGACATAGAGAACAGACTTGTGGTGGCCAAGGGGGGAGGGGGCAGGGAGAGGGATGGACTGGGAGTTTGGGGTTGGTAGATGCCAACTATTACATTTAGAATGGATAAACCACAAGGTCCTAATGTATAACACAGGGAACGATATACAGTATCCTGTGATAAACCATAATGGAAAAGAATATAAAAAAAGAATGTATATATGTCTATAACAGAGTCACTTTGCTGTATAGCAGAGATTTGGCACAATATTGTAAATCAACTATACGTCAATAAAAAATTGAAAAAAGATTAATAGCTGAGACATATAAAGTTACTACAAATCAATAAGAAAAATACAAATACCCCTACAGAATAATGGGCCAACAGAAGAATGAGAAATACACAAAAATATATGTGGGCAATAAACATGGAAACTATGTTCTTTTTACTAAAATTAGAGAAATGCAAATTAAAATAATGAGATTCCCAACCCCTCTTTTGGTCTATGGGGCAAAAATTGAAGAGATAAATAATATCCAGTGTAAGTAAGCATTCATTGGGGAGTAGTAGGATATGCTTAAAACACAATTAGAGGAAATGTAAAATAATAAAGACTTTTTAAAGACAATTTGACAGGATCTATTAAAATTTTAAATGCAGAATCTTTGAACCTATAATTCCACTTCTATTTATCTGGACTAGAGAAATATTCACATAGGACATGAAAAACCGTGCACAAGAATATTGCAGTGTGTGTAGGCATGTGTGTGTGTGTGTGTGTGTGTGTGTGTGGGTGTGTGTGGGTGTGTGTTTTGGAAACAACCTAAATGGTATCAGTAGTATATTGAATAAATAGATCATGGCATATATGTACTTCTATGAATGACTGGAGAAAATATCGTGCTCTGAAGTTCATTGCATATCTGGACGTTTATGGCTATATTTTGTTTGTTTTTAAAACTGTTGTGTAGTATTCCATGGGGTGGGTATACTCTAATTTATTTAACTGCTTCCCTATTTTCTTTTAATAAATTTATTTAATTATTTATTTTTGGCTGCTTTGGGTCTTCATTGCTGCGCGTGGGCTTTCTCTAGTTGTGGTGAGCAGGGGCTACTCTTCGTTGCAATGCGTGGGCTTCTCATCGCAGTGGCTTCTCTTGCTGCGGAGCACGAGCTCTAGGCGCGCAGGCCTCAGTAGTTGTGGCATGCAGGCTCAGTAGTTATGGCTCACAGGATCTAGAGCGCAGGCTCAGTAGTTGTGGCACACAGGCTTAGTTGCTCCACAGCATGTGGGATCTTCCCGGACCAGGGTTCAAACCCATGTCCCCTGCATTGGCAGGCAGATTCTTAACCACTGCACCACCAGAGAAGCCCCTCTATTTTTAAAAAACTTTTATTAACGTATAGTTGATTTACAATGTTGTATTAATCTGCTGTACAGCAAAGTGATTCAGTTATACATATATATATATTCTTTTCCATTATGGTTTATTGAATATGGTCCCCTGTGCTATACAATAGGACCTTGTTGTTTCAACTGCTTCCCTATTGATGGCTGTATGTGTATGTAAATGCATAGAAACGCATGAACATCAAACTGTAAACAGTGGTTATTACTGGGGAATGGAGTGAGATTTGATGGGAAGGAATAAAGAGGATTTTTATGTTTAATTCTGCAAGTACCTATTTGAAACTTTTAAAACAATAATGTATTCATGTTTTTATTGTGAAATTAAGTGTTTGATAATAAGATTCAGAAACTCAAGCAGATTAAGATAATATAATCAGTAAGCAAAAAATAACAAGCCTCTGTCTTCACCTTGCCCCTCACTCCCCGGGAACTTTCCTTGCTATTCGGTGTAAGATGAGTGGCACTGACACTCTAGCAACTGTCCTCACTTCCTGAAAGTGCAGCAAGAATCGTTGTAACAACTACTCTGAAAATAGGATTTTCACAATTCTATTGTCAAGAAAGCCCCATAAAAAGGCATTAAAATAATTATAAAATATAATATGATATGATATAAGATAGTATAGCATAATATAATATAGCATAGTGCCATATAATATATAACGTTAAAAAGGAACTAACTGTGAAATGAGGTACCTACCAGGATAGGAAAATGACCCTAGCTGCTCCCCAGTCTCACATTAGATCCCTGGCTACAATGTTATGGCTCTTTTTTCTTGAGAGGTGATGTAAGAGATGTTGGGGTGGCTATACACTACCGTATGTAAAATAGGTAAACAACAAGGACCTACTGTATAGCACAGGGAACTGTATTCAATATCTTGCAATAAATAACCTATAATGGAAAAAGAATCTGAAAAAGAATCTATCTATATATCTATATCTATATCTATATAAAACAATCACTTTGCTATACACCTAAACCATTGTAAATCAACTATGCTTCAGTTAAAAAATTAAAATTAAAAAAAGAGATACTGGGAGATTACCAAATTCCTGTACAGTTAACTCTTCCGTGGATTATTTACTTTTTGGATTATTCTTAGCACCTTTTAAATTCCAAAGGGATTTTCCCCAACTGTTAAGCATTCTTCTGAGTCATCTACCCACCTTCAATTGGTAGGAGTTCAAGGAATGCAAATTAGTTTTCTTTTAACCTAAATAAACACAATTAGAAAGGAAAATCCCTCGAGGCAAAGAACACCAATCAAAGCCAAATATAAATTATCTTTGTTGTAATCAGGGAGATAAATGAGGAACCAATGTAATGATCTTTTTAATCTCTAGAGGAAAATGTTTTAATGTTTTCTTTTATAGATTTCTTCAGCATTTTATAATCCTAATGTTCTTTTATATTCATCCTAAATCCCTTGTTTTTCAGTCTGAGCTCATTCTCTTTTTGTGGGCATCCATGAAAGTAATTGAGCTAACCTCAGTCATTCGAAATATACTTCCCGTCCTTGTCAATGTACAAACCTGGTAATTTTATGCTTTGTAATTTAATTGTTTGCATATCTATTCCTTTTACATTGATTTACCCCACATACTTATTATTTTTAACATCACTGTGATACCTTATAATATTAACTGCCATGACTACGAATCATGCACCATATTAGGAATTTTGTACATATTTTATTTAATCCTCATGACAATCCTGCAATTTAGATATAATTATCCTTAATGTGTAAATGAAGAAATTAAGAGGTTGTTAGTGAGACTCAAATGGCCTCATTCCCAAATCCACCATCCATCTGTAATGCCATACTTTCTCTTATCATGCTGATATATTAGTTTGCTGAGCTGATCCACTCTTGTTAGGCATTTGGGGTTATTTCTGATTTCTTGCAGTGCTAATAATATCCCATAAAAATTATTTTGTAAGCATAATCATCCTGGGTCCCCACGTAGCTCAGTTTCTACAGAGCCACATAGCACTGCCCAAAAGTAATTTTAAAAATGAATACCGATATTCATTTGGTCTCTCAAAGAAAAATCACAGGGGATCCAATTCAAAACTCATAACAATACTTCCCACATCTCCTTCCTTCATTCCCCAGTTCTCTCACACTCTATAACTGCTGCAGAGGTAGTTACAGTCTGAACCCCCCAAGCTCCCTACAAGCCCAAGCCCTGCAGCTCTTCTATCTCCATATGCCTCCTCGTTGGCTCTTTATTTTATAGATCAAAGCAGCTTCTTGGGCCTGATCCTTACCCTGGCCCTGGCCATTCTGGTCCAGCGTCTCTATATTCATTCTAATAATCCAACCCCAAATGAAAGAAGTCTCATTTTGTGGAAGTTGGAAATATGGACTGTGCAGAAACAAACATAGAAGAAATCTGGGAACACTCACACGTGAATACATTTTATTCACGTATTTAAGGTTTTGGGTTTTTTTTTTTTTCATTTTAGGATTCCCCATCCCCCCAACCCCACCCCCTGCGCATGAATTATAGTCTCCAAAGTGAGATTCATGGGTCACTGAATAGATCTGTAACAGTGAATAGTTTTAATCAAGAAGTATTCCTACTAATTAAAAAGATACATCCTATGATTATAATGAAGTTGACTTGTCATAAGGCTTATAAAAATACATTTTTACTTTATATGCCTTTTTAGGTGTATTTTATGATTACAACTAAAGTTTATTATAAAATTCTGATTACTTTATAATAACTAATAAACCTCTATATGTTAAATGCAATAGTATACAAAATACAAGTAGCCCTAAGCTTCCCTGTTTTCTCTTCTCTAACGGCCTAAAGAAGAAAAGAGATTTAGACTCTGGTAATGGCCCCTTCAGCTGCTAGATGTTCCCCTAAGAGGCTTTCTTTTGGTTTTGGCCAGCCCTCAAGTTCTTATCTCTGATCAGTCACTGATCTTGGGACTGGTTTGGGGTTATCTCTGAGGAAAATTGTGAAGTAACCAAAGCTTTTGTTTGGCATGCCCCAGATGGCTTTGGCATCTACTTTTTTTCCCCAGGTCCCCCTATCAACTTTTCCTTTGCAATTATATCAATCATTTACATATTAGTAGAACTTTAACCCTGTATATTCCCCTTCTCGGGGATATTTGCTTGCTATACCTTATCTCCGATTGTGAACACAAAGGTTCGTTTCTCGTCCTGGAGTTTTAATCACTAATGAGTTAATAGAGAAACTGTTGGGGGAGAGAGGCTGCCCAAGTGTCTTCTCTTGAGGTTGTCCCGACTTAGGGTGATTCAACTTAGTGAATTTTCGGCTTTATGATGGTGCAAAAATGATAGACATTCGGCAGAAACCATATTTAAAATTGTAAATTTTGGGGTTTTTTTTCAGGCTAGCTGTGTGCAGTAGGATATTCTTTTATGATGCTGGGCAACCAGCAAGCCACAGTTCCCAGTCAGCCACGCGATCATGAGGATACACAGCTAGTACACTCACAACCTTCTGTACCCAGATAACCATTCTGTTTTTCACATTCAGTCTAGTATTCAATAAAGTACATGAGATAGTCAACACTTTATTATAAAGTAGGCTTTGTGTTAGCTGATTTTGCCCAACTGTAGGCTCATGGAAGTGTTCTGAGCACATTTAAGGTAGGCTGGGCTAAGCTAGGATGTTTGGTAGGTTAGGTGTATTAAATGCATTTTTGACATGATATTTTCAACTTATGATGGGTGTATCGGCACATAACCCCATCAGAAGTTGAGGAAGATCTGTATTTTATAAGTATATATATTCTCAGTTTATGAATATGGCCAACTCTCAACTTACTGTTTTTATGTAACTCCAAGTTTTGAGGTCAAGTGCATTTCTGTGTCCACACCCCAGTCTTGCATGGGCTCACCCATGCAAACGTGAGAAAGGGCAGATAAGTGGTAAAACGTGGAATTTACTAGTTAGGGAAAGAAATACATGCTA